TTTATCTACTCAATAACAATGCTATCTATGTCTTGGGTAGTGCAAATATAAAGATTTTAACCAGAATAAATGGCAGATTTATCAGCCACTAGCCTTCTTACAAAAGCCACCTGAATTTATATTCAATAGAGCATCTACAGCCTGCCTTGCGCTCTCAGGGAGAACTATGTCTCTAACATATATTCAAGAATTTCAAGTGTGTGTTGTGCCAATTAAACACGGGCCTCATGGCAAACACTGGAAGCGCCCGAGTGCCTTCCTCCAGCTTAACAGAGCACATGCAGTTTTCAAATGTATGCTTTCCTCCAAGTTTGTAAATCTTCCTTGTTCTCATATTTTACTGCAATCCTATTACTGCATTATTATGTAATTTAAAAATATTTTATAAACAATTTTCTTTTTGAAATGTATTGTTTCTTCCATTCAATAGTGACTGGAGGCCTGCTGCTGTATGCCACATGTTGGTCCGGAGGCCAACGCTGGCCGGGCAAAGGACAGATTATCTTATACAAATAAAGGCAGAAAGTGCAGTATATGTCATCATTCATTGATCTGTTAACATGAGTGAATTTATCTCTAGCCAATCATCTGAGTGTTACTTGTGAACAGAAGTAATACTGATTTTGATTTGGGGGTCCGGTGAAAAAAGGTCTAGTGCTCACAAGCCCTCCAGGCTAACACCATGTAGCTGCCTAAAGCCGAGAGGAGACATCAGAGCACAGGCTGCCTGGGAAAGCAGAGATGGTGAAAGCAAAGAGAAGAGCCCAAAGAGGCACAAGAGGAGCCAAGCAAAAATCATTAATTCCCTCCGCAGAGCTTCAAAGTCCTGCTTTTGCAAACCATTTCTTCCACCTAAAAGAGAATGGAAATGCTTTATAGCAACCAGTACTTGTTTTGAAAGACCAGTGGCATCTGACTGGTTTTTATGCTTCTACAACTATGAGGCAGTCCACAATGGTGGTGGAAATAAGTCAGCAAGATCCAAATTTAGTTCCAGCCAAGCTTTTGATAGCACCCTCCCTGGCATTTTCATCAAAACAAACCAGGACAGAGTAGGAACAAAAGAAGCTCCACATCGCCCCATATATCCATATTATGTTAGGAAATTTTTTTAAATGAGAATTAGTATATTAAATCAGAGATAAGCACCTACTTAGATGAGCACTTTTCATATACAGTATTCCCATTTAATGCCCATAAACACCCTGAAAGGTTAAAAATTATCTATGATATTCTACATGTAAGAAATTTGATGTTCACTAAGATTAACTGTATTACCAAAGTCACACAACCAGATTATGACATAATCAGAGGTTGAAGTCACCTCTGACTTCTGAATGTATTCCCTACAACATAAGAACAGTAAAAGATGAAATAGCTTTCCCTTTTCTTTCTCTTGAAAGTACCCCTCTGTTTTTTAATCCACTGTCCCTGGCTTAGTTTGATCTTCCCTTATTCCTCCTATAAGTATGGTCAGTCTTTACTCTTTGTTCCATGGCCAAATGGGCGCTCAAATTCAAACTTCCATGCAGGTACACTTGAAACACCATTGCAGCTCACTGCAGGCTGATGTGAAAATTCCAAATCCATCCATTTCTCAAAATTTCCACCTTACCAGTCAATATGCCATGACACCCACTTTAGTATATACTCTCAGTGCTCAATGAAAATCTCCTCTACAGAGAGTTCCTTTACATGCCAGTGGTCCCATACGATTCTTTTTTACTGCCAGAAGAGCAAACTTTAATGAACTATGGGTATGAGTTAGTGGACAAATACCCCAACCCCCTTGCCCTTCGGTGTGACAGTTCCCTCAGAAGGTTCCCGGTGAGGTTCCCCAGGTCTCAGCAGTGATCTGGTATCTGGCTTACTTTTTATTGACTTTCTTCCTATAGGTTCTGCAACTTTAAAAGAAATGACATATAACAAAACCAGTACTACCACAGGCTAATTGACATAAACAAGAGATAAGTTCCTATGGCAGCCCATCAATGTTATAATAAAATGATGCTGAAAGAAACCACATTATTTGAGGACCTGCTGTACTCCCCCATTCTCTCAGAGGGCTTCCTATGATCATCTCTCAAATAAACTACTTGCAATTAAACCCTTTCTCAGGCTCTGTTTTTGGGAAAATAGGCACAAACTAGTATTTTATAAGAACTGATCAAACCGAATATTGCTAAAGGCTCCAAAATGATCTCTCAGATCTGACTGCCCTCTCCTGGCCCTCCTATCTGCCTTATATTTTACCCCCAGGTTTCTCTTTCTAAAACGCAGTTGACTCCGGCCCCTCGGTAATCCTCTGTGGCTCCCACTGCAATTACAAGCAAAACAAAACTCTGCCCAACAAAGTCTGCCTGGATTTCTAATTGTATGTCACTCTGCATTCCTACCACACACACACATACACACTCCAGATGCAGGCCTCTATTCATTATTTACAGAAAGTATCTTCTCTGTGTTTACAGTAAGGTTGCTTTCTCCGCCTGAATGCCGTCTCCACCAGACTGGCTGATAAACCCCACCTCACCCTTTGAGGTCCACATCAAACCCATCATCTCTTAAGAAGCCCTCGCAGAACCCCACTGTTAGGGGAAATACTTCCCACTACCACGCTCAGGCATTTTGTACATCAGTGTGTATCTTGTATTGAGATAGTTTATGGATATCTATGTCCACCACCAGATGTGAATTCTTAGGACTCAGGAGCCATATTGTATCTATTTTTGTATCCAGTGGTAATATTCCAAATAATTAACAAGCTTATATGCCACTTCTGACCAATCAGAAAGAACACAAGATCAAAGTCCTGTGGCACCCTGATGAGTCATGTGGTGACTCTTTAGTTGCTGCTGGATTGCTGGGAAGTCCAGGGGGGCCGGGGGAGGGGCTATGGCGGTCAGCATGCAAGGGTCACATTACAGTGGAATCAAACAATTGAGTACTTGCCAACATATAAGGAAAAGCAACTACTGTTAATATTTTAACAGAGCATAATTGGCTGAATGTCAGTTTTGTTCATAACTATTATGCTTAACAAGGCTTCCCAAACTATATGCCTCTTGTGAATAATTGTCATATGATAAAAAAAGGAATTGAAAACTTACTTTTTAAAGACCACTGATACGCATACTGATATACTTCTTTAAAAAGCACAAATAGGAACATTCTCATATACTCTATAGTCTAGTTTTCTTTATAACAGATTAATAGCTGTTTAGAAGCAATTACATTTACACTACTTAAAATACTGTTGACGTCTTCCAATAGTAACATCAATAAAAATAAAAATAGGATTAACCTTCTTTATACTCAGTTTTTCCACATCATAATGACAGCATTAATTCAATTCTAAGGGATCACCCTAGGGAAAATGATCATGATCATGCTTTGCAAATATTTTTCAAAATTATGAAGCCTGCAAAATCTCTTGTGTAGCCAGCAACATTAATTCATCCTCACTTTACAATGTACAATGTACAATGAGTTGCCTTTCACGTCCTCAAATTCCTTCTAAAGAGCTTCAAACCAAAACATTAAATGAGTCCATATCTGATTAGTGAAAATATGTACTGAAATTTTATGGTCTCAGAAATGCTGCCAAACCCAACAAAAAATGACTATACAAAGAAAGACATTAAATCTGATTACTTAATTCTTATTAGCTTAATTTCTATAACTTTAAGAGTCTGATTCAGAGACTAGGAGCTTTGTTTTGTTTAAGGGACTCATAAACATTGCTAATTCAACAATGTTGCACAGTTTGAGGTTCCTCTTATGTTCCTTCTCAGACAGAGAACTCACTGCCTTTAATACAACAGGAAACTGAGATTTATTATGTATATAGAAAATAATGGCAAAAAGTTAAAATTCTAAAACCAAAAAAAGTTCACCATTAGGACTATTGTTTGATGGTTAAAATGAAACTGGAACTTATATATATATTTTTTAATAAATCTTTATTGATTTCAGAGAGAGGGAGGGGGAGGGAGAGGAAGAGATAGAAACATCAAGGACACGAGAGTCATCGATCAACTGCCTCCCGAAGGCCCCCGACTGGGGATGGAGCCCGCAACTCGGGCCTGTGCCCTTACCGGGAATCGAACCCCGATCTCCTGGATCCTAGGTCGATGCTCAACCGCTGAGCCATGCCCGGCCAGGTTATATTTCTTAAAATCAGTTTTAATCTTCTGAATTACATAAAAATGGCAAAATACGGTATACTTTATTGAAGTGCTTGGAATAGGCTCACTATAACTCAAAATCTACCTATCACGTGGAGAATTATTAATGGGCTTTGTAAAGCCAAATGTCTGCGAAGTGACAGGAAGATTTCAGAAGGTGCCAATGACTATGACTCTGGTGATATCTGAGGCCCAACAGAGAGGGGAGGTGGGCAGGTTGGCTCTTCCTTCACAGCACACTCCATCCCAGTGGCACTAACTGGATCATTGTTTGCTATTCTGAAACTCCCCCTCTGCTTGTTAATAGAATTGGCATCCAGTCTGCTCTCTGTACTTTCTTCTTTGGAGCAGCTTTCTACACCTTCTGTGCTAGGTACAGACCCTTTCCTAAAACATTCTTTACTGTGGCAAGCAGGGCTGACAGGCTAGTCCTGAACTACAAGGTGTATGCTTTCTCCACCTCTAACTTGTATCCATTTACCTACATTACAATAATTTCCTCAGCAGGATCCAACCACCACAGGGCATCTGATTCTCTTCAAAATAGGATAACTGATTCCTTTAATGAATCACAGCCCCTCTGTCCTTCCTTAGTATTCTTCTACACTTTTCACACACACCCCTCCCTAAAAAAGCTTGTAAGAATAACTTTTACGCCCACTCCTAAGCAAGCAGTTCTGTTCAGGGACCACCAGGGGAATTTGTATACATGAATGTTTTATTAGACACACGGTATGAAAACTTCATATATACCAAGGATTTTAACCTATTGTTCATGTATCAATTAAGTGCATGTATGTTCTTATTATACGTAGTCCTATAAACATTCTCATAGGATGCTGTCTGGTGCATAAATTGGTATAACTATTTGAAACTATCACAGTTTTAAATGTAAATCCCTTCAATTAAATATTTCTACTTCTAGAAATTTGTCACACAAATAAATTCAAATAAATGGCCAAGAGAGTATAGCATTAGACAAAAAAAGTGTGTGCCCCAAAGCTCTGATTATTTAGAAAGGTAATGACTGAAATGGAAAACTAAATTTCCCTCTGGGTCATTTATTAGAAAGAGGAAATGTAAATTACACTTTTATTTATTGTCTTCATGTACCTGGACTAGTGTGGTAGTTAATAATATTTTATTAATGGTTTGGTTACCTTTGAATACACCACGTTTCCAAGAGCTTATGTGTAGAACATATGGACCTACACTATCAGGCTCTATGGTGATGAGTGGCTTTCCCCACACTATTGGAAGATTTGAAGATACCTGGAAAAGAGAATTCAAAAATCAAGAACTATATGCCAACATTGATATGAAATCAGTGTAACAAGCTAAAGCATAGAAGAAAATGAAATTTCATTGAAATACGTCCATTAAAACTGTTCACTCTTAAATAAAAAGCAAGCCTCAAAAATGCTACATACAGTAGAAGAAAAATCTGAGACCTATGAAAAAAGTAGAACAAAGGAGATCCTTGCAAAAAAAACAAGGTTTATTTTCTGTTGCTACTTGTAGCCAGATCTTAGGAAATCTGAGTATCTCTTATAGGCCATGCAACATTTTCCCTATGCAATTTGATGTACAAAAGATGAACCATCTCAATGAATTTCTACATCAATATTAATACAACATATAAAGAATATTTAAGCACTTGACCACAACTCTGGTTAAACTCAACTTTCAGCATACTGAGTATTTACCTCTTGCCACACCCCACCCACTGCCCAGGCAAACACTAATCTATTTTGAGCCTCTATAAATTTGCCTATTCTGAAAAATCCATATAAAAGAAATCATACACTATGTGGTCTTTTTGTGACTGGCTTTTTTCACTTAGCATAATGTTTTCAAGGTTCATGTACATTGTGATATATATCTGTACATCATTTCTTTTATTGAGGAGTAGTATTCAATTGTATGATGCACGTGTTGTGTATCCATTCCTAAGTTGATTAAAGTTTTTTGCATTTTGTCTATTATGAACAATGCTGTTATGAAAATACGTACAAATTTTTAAGTGGACATAGATTTCCATTTCTCATGGAAATACATCTTGGAGTGGAACTGCTTAGGCAAATTATAACTCAGGGTTTAACCTTTTAAGTCACTGCTTTCCAAAACTGTTTTCCAAAATGGCTGTACCATTTTTCTTTCCCACCAGCAATGGGTGATGGCTCCTATTTTTTTACATCTTCTCTCAAAGTTTTCATTGTCTGTCATTTTGATTAGAGCTATTCTAGTGAGTGTGAAGTGGTATCTCATTGTGATTTCCATTTCCATTTCCTTAATGGCTAATAATGTGGAATAACTTTTCACCCCCCTTTTGCTTATTTGCATATCCTCTTTGGAGAAATGACTATTCAAATTCTCTGCACATTTTAAAAAGTGCATTACTTGTCATTTTATTATTGAGTTGTAAGACATTCTTTACATACTCTAGAAATAAGGCCCTTATCAGATACATGGCGTGTGGATATTTTCTTTCATTCTCTGGTTGGATTTTTCACTTTCTTCAAGGTATCATTTGAAGCACAGTCATTCTAACTTTGAAGTCTAATTTATTTATTGTTTCGTCACTTGTGCTTTTGGTGTCATATCTAAAAAATAATTGCCTAACCGAAGGTCATGAAGATTTACTGCTATGTTTTCTTCTTTTTCTCTTTTGAGTCCAGGTGATTTTGAGAGAACATTTATTAAGCCAGGGGGAGTGAAACAAAGGGGGCTTAAGGTGGAAGAAGCGACAGGAGAGCGCCTAGGCGGTGCTCTGCTTTGACTCTCTAGAAACATTATAGGAGAGAAGTGAGCCAAGGCCGGGCTGCTGCCAGCTCACTGGTGAGTCAGAGAAAAGGGGGGCTTGGGACAGGTTCAGGGGGTAAGCCCTGGGTGGGATGCTGCCGTCTGCTGCTCCCCTGGTTGCAAGTCTCACGGGGACCCTTAGAGTTTAGGAGAGCAAAGTAAAGACGCATTGCCTGGGAGGGAAGACAGGGATGGCCATGCTCCAGGGAGAGCCCCTACTGTTGCTATGTTTTCTTCTATGATTTTTAGTTCTATCTATTAAATTTTGGTCTATGATCCATTTCGAGTTTACTTTGGCACATGGTACGAGTTAGGGTCCAATTTCATTCTTTCGCAGTTCTCTTTGCAGTTTTTTAAAAACACTATTCTGTTTCATTGAATTCTCTTGGTATCTTTGTCAAAAATTGATAAATCATTATTATAAGGGTTGACTTACGAATGCTCTATTCTGTTCCATTTGCCTATATGCCTATCTGATGTCAGTACCACATTTTCTTTAATATTAGAGTTTTGTAGTGAACGGTTTGTAGTAAGTTTTAAAATCAGGAAGTATGAGTCATCCCATTTTTTCTTTATTTCACAAGATTGCTCTGTCTATTCTGTGTACCATGCATTTCTACATGAATTTTAGGATTACCTTGCCAGATTCTGCAAAAATGTAAGCTGGGATTTTGATAGTGTTGAATCTGAATATCAGATTGGATGACATTGCCATTAGAACAATATTAAGTCTTTTGATCCGTGAGCACAGGATATATCTTTCTATTTACTGGAAATTTCTTAAATTTCATTCAATAATATTTTGGAGTTTTCAGTGTACAAGTCTTGTCCTTCTTTTGTCAGGCTTGCTCCTAACCATTTTATTATTTTTAATGTTATTGTAAATGATTATTAATTTCACTTTGGATTGTTCATTGCTAATATATAGAAATGGTGGATATTTTGATATTGATCTTATGTCCTGCAAATCTTCTAAACTCATGTATTAGTTTAAAGTGCATATTTAGTGAATTTCTTATAATTTTCTATTTATGAGATTATGTTATCTACAAATAGAGATCATGTTATTTCTTCCTTTTCAATGTGGATGCTTAGTCTTCCTGTTCTTAACTAATTGCGCTAGCTGGTACCTTCTAGTACAATGTTCAGTACAAGTGGCAAGAGTGAAAATCCATACCTTATTCCTGAGCATAGGGAAAGATTATTCAATGTTTTCTCATTAAGTATGATGTTAGTTGTGGGATTTTCATAGATGCCCTTTAGTATGTCTCAAGCATATATGGAATATTCCCCAGGACAGACCATGTTTTAGGACATAAAAGAAGCCTCAATAAATTGAAAAGGGCTGCCATCATCCACAGTATGTGTTTTAACAATAATGGAACTAGATTAGAAATCAAAAATGGGAGGAAAATTGGGAAATCCTTAAATAGGTGACATTTTAGACAGCATAGTCCAAAATAACATGTCAAAGAAGAAATTCCAAGGAAAATTAGAAAATATTTCGAGCCCATATAGTGAATGATTCCTTTCTCTTATTGTACTTTTCAACTCCAGAATTTATTTTTTATAATTCTACATATTTATTGATATTATCCGTTTATTGAAACTTTTCATTAATTCTTCAGACAAGATTCCTTTTAGTTCACTGAACATATTTACAAAGGTTTAAAGTCTTTATCTACTTAGCCAACACGTGGGCCCCTTCAGAGATAGCTCCTAGTGACTACTTATTTTCCTGTGTGTGGGTCATACTTTCCCATTTGTTTCTTTTTTCTTTGCCTCATAAATTTTGTTGTTTTTGTTGAAAAATGTATGTTTTATATAAGGTAGTATAGCCATTTTCGAAATCAGATCACTACTTCCCCAGGTTTTGTTCTTTGTGGGTTTAGTGACTTTTCTGAACCAATTCTGTAGATTCTGCATTCACAGTAGTGTGTGCCCAATAAAGTCCCTGTTTAATTAGCTTAGTGGTCAGCAATAATTTATCACAGGTTTCTTTAAATGCCTTGAAACAATAAATCATCTGCCCTTTTTCAAGGAGCATTGTATATGTGTTGAGGCACACTTTGAGCACTCGGGTAGTTATTTTTAATTCTGCTGTTAAAATAATTTCCAGCTTACACAGTGCTTCTGGGTCAGCCAGAAATGGAAACACTGGCATCCTCTCAGATCTTTCCTGGGCAAGTGCACAACTCAGCACATGCATGTGACCTGCATGTTCCCCAGGAATATGTGAAGTTTTTAAAATCCCCTAAGGACATCACATTCCCCAGATCTTCCTTTCAAGTTGTTGGCCACAACTGTTATTGCAGCCTAAGGCAACTGCAATGTCAAACTATAACTGTTGAATAGTTTGGCAAATGTCCTGAGGATAGAAATATAAAAACATTAGGAAGACCTGGAACACATGAATAGAATTATTAATACTTCAATGAAATAAAATTTAACTAATTTAATAGGTAATATCTTTAATTACAGAAAGAGCTTCACTAAAAATTTACACCCTAGAAGTAAAATAACCAGGTTCTTCAGCTTTATTTGTGGATTAAAAATGATAGAAATATAGACTTTAATTATTATTGTTGGTGAGAATAATTTTGTTATGAATAGAATTCCACTTCTACATTTCATTAGATAGTTAATATAGCAAAATTATTATTTTTAAAAGCTTACATTTTAAAAATGCATTCATACAGAAATCATCTCTGCCATAATAACAAAATAAAATAACCAACATTATAAAATTACAGATTTTTCTTTAACTTGTCTTCATCAAACTCTTAGGACAGGATTCCTTGATCACCAGAAAATGCTGGAAGGGGAAAGGGAGTGGTAGAAAAGTAATTTTTCCCCCTTAGTTTTAGTAAATCCAAGTAGTCATGATTTTCCCTTCCTTCCTTCTTTCCTTCCCTTCTTCTTTTTAAATGTCACCCATTATATTTATATCTGTTCCTTAAAACAAAACTTCCTCAAAAACTATTATATGCTTGATACTATGCTTTATGCTAGTTATAAAAATACGAATAAGAGAGGCATGCCCTTGTCTCACAATTTATAACCTTTATTATTATTAGAATAATAAACAGGTAATAGCGATATGATGTATATACAATGGCACAGGTACAAAAATGTTGTGGGCGCACATGAAAAGCATCTGCTCCAGGTTTATGGGAACAGGGAAGGATTTTTGGAAAAGCAGCATCTAGGACTTGCTCTAGACAATGAAAAGGAGTTAGACAAACACAGAGAAATGGAAGACAGGAAGTTGGAACGAGATTTCTGGATCATAGCGAAAGGAAATATTGCATACAAAGGCCTAAGTGTTGCTGGAGCCAAAAGTGACAAGAGATGAAGCTGAGCAGATAAGCTTTTGAAGGGTGGTTAAAACCCACTTAGAGGAGTATGTGAAGGTAAGGGATGACACCGAAGAGTTTTAGCAGGGGAGTGACAAAATGAGATTTTCATTCATAATACCCCCTCCATTTGCAATCGAGCAAGGAAGCAAGAAGAAAACCAAAGCACATATTTTTTGAGATCATAAAAAAATCAGAAGGTAAACGCAGAGAATTTCCCAACTTTGGCAGTACCCTCTAAAATTGAATTCAGGCACCTGTGATGGACAGATATTTGAAGCTCCTTGCAAGGATTCTATTGGGCACACAACAATTTGTAGATAAATATGGGAGTGGAAAGTGTAAAAAATTATTTTGAGGTTGGCTGAAACAAATCAAGCAAAGGGAGCTAAGTGCAAAACTTCATAAAAATAAAGATGTAAATAATTACACATTTCTTCACATTCCCACGATTATTCACACTAGTAAATGATAGAGTACACTTCTGAAATGTTGTGCGGATAGGTTTCACATTAAAATTTCAAAAGCTGTTTAAAAATTCTTTTGAAAATACCTTTTATTACCATGTAGAATTTCTTCAAGTGAAAATACACGACTCGAGTATATTTTAATGTTTCTTATGATTATATACTAATACTTAGAAATAAAACTTGTTTGGCACTAATTAAGCTTTATAATTGCAATGAAATTTAGTAGCTGTTAGACCAATAAAAAGTAGAATTCGAAACATTCTTTATGTGTCATTACTTCACTTAAATAAAATTAAATGTTTTTAAATTTTCATATAATCCAATATACTCCCTCTAAAAATACTTTTATACTAAAAAAGGTCTTACCTTAAATGTTACCATGCTCTTTGTATAATTGGGCACCATTATGGTTCTATCTTCTGAGATCCCCACGAGACAGTTAGCAATGATGCATTCCAAGGCCACGGGCCTTCTGCCAATCCCTTTCATGACAAAGACATGCTCCGAACCGTCTGTTTTATTTTGTACAGTAAGTTTTCCCTGGGATAAATCAACCAAATTTCAGCTCTACAGGAGTCACAGCTGGATGCCAAACAACCTCTACTATCCTATCCACCTTAGTCTGATTAATAAAATGAGCATTCAAGAAGGTGTCAGCATTGACTCTTGCAGTTAATACCTCTACTGACCAAGATGAATTTCCTGTGACAGCCTCCTTATTTCTCTTTCTCTAAATACAGAGTTTATATAGGCATTCTCTTGCATAGGAACTACGTGGACGTTTACATGCTTGTCAAAGAAATATGTCTTCAGAAAATAATTTCTGAAATACCAACTTTCTTGATGAATAAAAGCAATAAGAGCAATGATTTTACTTTGTTAAGCGTGTTATGTAAAAGTAACCTAGATATAAGTACTGGCAGCCAATGGCATGCAATTTTCAGAATGTTTATCACTCAAGTTAAAACATTATTAGAGTTTCAAGCAGAGTGAACTCTAAGGTTCAAATTCATGAAAATATAACTTTTCTGCAAAAAGACTTACAGTAAATTTACAGGTTAATATCAGACATTGTTTTATTGACACATTAATACTTGGCAAAAATTATCATTGAGTTCATACCGTAATCTCACATTCCAAAAGAGGTTTGAATGTGAGGGGGTACTGTGCTGTTTCACCTGGCCTGACAGATAAATTAGAAGGTCCGTAAAAACATTCTCCTTCTATAGTCATTTGACATTTCCATTCATTCTTCGTTTTATTCATCTAAAGCAGGAAAAAAGGTAGAGGAATATCAGAAAGATGATATTTATAAAGTTGAATGACATAAATTCTTGGTGCTTTTCATAAAATTATATACTGTATTTTTAATTGTATTTCTTAAGAGTCACCACTGGAAAGTCATATTTGTTAATAACTATCAAGAACGTGAATATAAGGCATAAGAATGACTATATGTCCTTCCAGTGTCATACGGGAGCGTTGCCTAACAGGTTAATCCATGAATTATTTAATAGCTCAAGGAATATTCCTTTGTCTGCCTTACTAATTGTTTAGATGATAACATGGTCTTGAGGTTACACATTTTACTCCTAATAATGGGTCATAAAAAGTGTTCTAACTGGTAGATTGCTTACATAGCAAAGGCTACATAACTCTTCAGGGCAAGTTTTTGGGCTTTGAGCAGACTTCTGTTATATCTTTAATAACTAATCAAGTAAAAAACTATTTATCAATCAAAGAACTCAAAATCCCTTACAATTATATTACCTTCTTCTACGCTGCATTATCACTTTGAGTAACAGAGAGCCAAGCTGCAGCCTATCACTATTCTTAATGCCTAGGAACCCATCTTAATAAGTGTCAAGATCACAACTGAATTTGGAGCAGAGTGATCTGAGAGACCCTTACTCTGACTGGTGGAGCCAGGAGGCATAGCTTTGGAGTAGGAATTTCATGAGAGGTTAAGGAAGTTAAGGTTAATTGTTTTAAGCAAAGAGATCCAGCATAAATGATTAATCAGGTGAGTAACATGATGACATTTATATGCAGAAATAAAACTCTGACATCGATGTAGAGAAACAAATAGCAACAGATAATGCAATTAGAAATGGACCAAGTTTGATCCCTGCTCAGGGAACATACAAGAATCAACCAATGAATGCATGAGTAAGTGGAACAACAAATCGATGTTCCTCTCTCTCTCCCTCCTCTCTCTTTTTTTTCTCTCTCTCCCATCCCTCCCTCTCTCTCTAAAATCAATAAGTTAAAAAAGAAGATTAAAAATAAATAAATCAGTAATAGTTCAAGATGAGAAGTTTGGAGGATTTTGAGATGGTGGCAGTGGGAATGAAGAAAAACGCCCCAAAACCCCCACGTTCATACTTACTATTGGAATATTCTGGGTAAGGGCTTCAAATGCTGGTGTTTCAAAATCAAATCTAGCCTCCGGACATTCATCATTCACCACGCCTTCAATATAATAGAGCCGCACGTCATACCTTGACGTCAACAAAATTTTACAAGGGTAGCGCCCAGGACAGAGAGGAGCAAATTGTAAAGAAACTGAAAAAGATCCTTCTGGAACTATCAAAATAAGTGAAAAATAAATTAATCATTTCAAATGGCATCAATCCTAAAATTCATTTTGGGGTAAAGCAATATTTACTATTATTGTATTTAACTGCATAATCTAGAAGAGACTAGGTGATGCCAAAGTAACACACTAACCCTACATCTCCAGGGCACAACAAGCAAGTTTATTTACCAGTGACAGATGGGTTGGAGGAAGGGCTGCTCCACGAAGTCTCTAGGGACCCACGCTGTGAAAGACCCCACTATCTTGCAGCAGCACCAGCAGAAATACCTCCCCTCCCTCCCTGACAGGTCAGGGGAAGAGGAGAGGCTAGAAGTTTGCTCAAGGGCTTTTCTGGGCTCAGCCCGAAAGTATCACACATCACATTTAGTTGGCTCTATCCAACAGAATGGGGGTTGAGAAATAAGACAGATACATGGAACATTTGATAAGCATTATTAGATTTCCATGACTTATGGGTGCTCTGTCCCATAACAAGCAAAATAATTTGCGACTTAGTCAACAGATAGAAATAAAGGTTTTCGTAGTTAATAACCAAGAGCGGCACAAAGAGGAATGTCTGATTAATACCTCTCATATCCACTTGCTATGCCATTTATCTGAAGTTAATAGGTAATATCATTTCTTATGATGGGGAGGCTCTCTATGCTGTTCCTTTCCTTCCAAGCAATATCACCTTTTCTCAGAAGATCAGCAGTTTTTCATTCTCCATGAAATGAGAAAGCAATTATAAAAAAACTCTCACCCCTAAAGTAGGATGCGGTATAAGAATATAATACAAATTTCACTGCTAATGCCAAAGTATTTAAGTAACAGATGAAAAAGAAATGATAAAAAATATTTAGAAGCCTAATGCAGACAAGTTCTCTCAAACCAAGAAAATAAAAATCAAGTTTATCAATCAATGGACCAGACAAGTATTATGACATTAATTGGCTATCATTTTAATTGACCCGCATTTGATGCCTCAAAAGTTCAAAATGGCAAATGTGTTTTCAAACACGCCGAAGTTTGTACACCAAGAAAATCATTCACTCCTGCAAAAACATTAATTGCTTTAAATAACTTTTCAAATAAATTGAGGATATGTATGTGTATATTTTGTTACGTTATGTGCTATGTATTATAAAAATGTATTAATTATATATAGTATATATTGCATGTTGTATATTGCTGTATGTTATATATATTATGTAAAGTGTTATGTATTATATATTAAAACACATTGTTAATGGATCACATTTGAAATCTATATTACATCTAACCAAAGTCCAAGATTCTCAGCTGGTCTAAGGAGGAAATAAGTCTGTGAGAATGTTATCTTTATTCCATCCTTTTCAAGTGCAAATCAAATTTCAGAATAAAATTTCTTCTTGTCAAAAAGGACTCAAGGCACATTTTATCATCTATTATTCATTGATGACTTTCATTCTGAAAGAAGTATTTGAGTTGTGGCAACATCATTAGAACAAACCAGGTGAGATAATTATTTGATCAAAAGCTGTTGCTTTATAACAGAAATAAAGAAGCCTCATGTTTCTCTTGCTTAACAGAATGAAATTAAAATATTTAAATTAGTAAGTTAAAGAAAATTAAATTGCTTTGAATAGGAAATTTAAAGAATTCAACAGTAATTATTATTTTCATCAAAGATAAAGAATAACTAGCCATTTAATAGCAAACAATAATTGATACGTACACATTCACATATAAAGCTTCTGTCAAAAGCTCTATATTATACACTATTTTGTTTTCCTTAAAAATATTCATTTCCTAATGATACTGAGTCTGAAAGTGAAACTAAGGACATTCTTAAGTGTACATTTTCCAAGTCACGCAATGTTCACGAGCAGAGACCCCGAGGAATGCACAGTGCCAGCCCCTCTCCCTTACAAGCCCAAAAACAAATCCACCATTAAATGGAATTTGTAGAAAAGATGGTCCTATATTTGAAGATATATTGATAAAACAGTATTTGTTTCTTTTTCTTAAACATCTGAAATAATTTAATTGATTCATGCCGGAAACATAAGTAGGAATATTATCATTTATTATTAACAAGAAGTCACTTCTAGATGAAAGTATTCATCAGCCAACTAACCACATTCCCTTAGATATAAAAAGCAGAGATGGAAACTATCTTGATTTTTAGAAACTTGGAAATGTTACTGGCTACATTATGTCACCATACCATTATTCTCTTTTAGGGACATGTTTTCTCAAAGTCCTTTCCAATTCTGCACTGTGGCAGGCGCTATCCATGCCCTGCCATGTCTCCTTTCATTTAAATCTTCCCCGTAAGTTAATGGCTTTACGGAAAACTGTGACATTCTTCTTGAGGGCTTCCTCTTATCACAGGAGGGAGCTCACATGGATCAGGCCAGAAGTGACAGTTAATGCCTGCAGCTGCAGTCCTCAACAAAAAATATATCATATTGGTGAAAAATAACCCAGCGTCTTTGTCTTTTGATTAGAATAACTCTGGGGTGAATTCTCTACTAACTCTTAAAGATTCCCGGTGAAATTGAGCCCAAATAGCTCACACTGGCGATTGTTCATTTACACTCCCTGAACTGGCTGCGTCTCTTTGCTGTCTCTCACTTTCTCACACTCCTACCTATGGTTCCTGAGATCACTTTTCAAACTATTGATCTCAAGACCTGGGCTCAGGGTCTGGGGTTCCCCAACCTAATACACACCCTTACACATGGGAAAGAGGGCTTCCTGTCGTGGGCCTCATGCTTTCTAGGGTCTTACTCTCAATCCCCTCCGGTATTGTCTCTCTGCGTGTGCAAGGAGCCCAATGGGACAGAGCTACATGGAGCCGAGCCCCATCCATGTTCCAAGTTCATGGGATGCCCTAATTCACTATCCCAGTTGCTTTGATCCCATTTCCAGTGCTTGCACAAGACTCTTCCCAATGTCAGTCTTCCCCATTGTAAGACTCCCGGAATTGAAGGGTAACTAACGAATGGCTATTAAGAGGAAGCTGTAGACTAATATTAATTATGTGAGCTGGGGTACCCACAAATTTGTATACAACCACCATTATGGCACAGGTTAGAGTTGAAAGAAGGAAGAAAAGGAGATGAGCACTGGGCCAGGGGCCAACTATTTTGCTGTCATAGTCTAGTGCAAAACTCTGAGGAAACCAAGAATTCTAAATTCAAACTTGGCTCTTTCAGGTTTATATAAAGAACATTTATTAATGTAAAATGACAGAATGTATTCTACTTAAAATTTTGTTAGTTTAATTACTTTTAAAATTTAGACATATGGTATGTGGCTTCCATATGTACTTTTGACCAGGGCATCACAAATTTTAAGAACATTCTGGACCTGTCCCTTCCATTCCTACTCTCAGATGTAGCTCACCTAGGGCCTCTTCTTTACAGGTGATCCTGGTAACTGTGGCAGTTGCCAGGGTTCTGTAATTAAAGATAACCAAATATATCTAAATTTATCAGATAAAAGAACATAGGAAAGAATCAGTCTAATGAAAGAATACTTAATTTATACTAATATAACATTAGCTACTAGAAGAAGTCAGTGTAATCTACAGTTTTTGAAATAATCCATAAAAGCATGCTATACTCAGATCCTAGAATAGGTCATGGCTGTAACAATAAGTCAATACTGCTGTTTTGGTCAGCTATCAGCTATCTCTGCATAACAAACTACACTGAAACCTATTGGTGTAAAGAAACAGCTTATTTGCTCATGATTCTCAGGTCTCTCCTCATTTGGGAAAGCTTATCTGCTTCAAGTGGTACTGGGTGGACTCATTCATGAACTGGGACATCAACTGGAAATTCTGTCCATGAGCTCTCTACAACTTCTATGAGATGAGCCTACTATTTTTCATACAGTACAGAAGAATTACCAGTAGCAAAAGAAGGCGAGCCCTAATATACAAATGGTTATCAAATATCTACTTCCTTCACATTCCTTACAAATTCATTGGCCAAAAGCAAATCACAGCCAAAACCAGGGTCAACAAGGGAGGAAAGACCACATAAAACATGTGAGACACATGATCCATTTGGGCTTTTACTGGAACAATCTACCTTGTCTTAACTACAAAAGAAGCTACATGTATAAAACTGGTGAGATGAAAAGTGCAATCAACTGAGAGTTTAAAATCCTGCCTTTTAGTTTTAGTTCCTCTCCTGCACTGTGTGACCTTGGGCAAAGAACTTAGACTTTTTAAAAAAGCTCAATGTCTTTATCTATCAAAATCAAAGAGTGAGATTTGATCAGTAGCTTTCAAGCATTTTATTTTTGTTTGGGGGTCCTGTGTATGAACAATACCTAAGACAGAATCTCAACATATAAAACAAATTAACGGCACAGCATCGACCTAGGATCCAGGAGATTACGGTTCGATTCCCGGTCAGGGCACATGCCCAGGTTGCGGGTTCCATCCCCAGCAGGGGGCGTGCAGGAGGCAGCCGATCAATGATTCTCATCATTGATGTTTCTCTCTCTCTCCCTCTCCCTTCCTCTCTCTGAAATCAATAAAGATATATTTATATATTTAAAAAACCAACAAATTAACGTACAGCTGATCTGGTTGAAGTAGGATGAGAAACTGGAAGCTCCAATTCACGTACGCAACCCCCCTACAGTCAAACCAAAGTACTTTAAAAGAATGCTAGGGCTCTATAGAATAGAGTTTGATTAATTTACCTCTTAGGTTTCTTTGTGCATCAGAAAGGTGGAGGAGACTAAATAATAAAGTGAACTGACCATTATCTTCTATAGTTAATTATTTAAGTGTATTATTGGCAAACAGAAGCTCTAAATTCAGAGTATGAGTTATCAAGAGAATGAACAGCTATATTTATATGAATTCATTTATATAAATGAATTTATAATAAAAAAGATATTTATTTGTTCTAAATTCATGTCTGAGTAATTATATTTTCAGAGAATTTTTTAGCCCATTGCTAATCCCACTTCCATCTAGTACTGGAAAATATTA